CAAGGAGGGGCGGCCTGGGAAGAATACAGGGATGTTGTCTGGGAAGCTAGGGACCAGGTTAGGAAAGCTAAGGCCCAGTTAGAATTAAACTTGGCTAGGGATGTTAAGGATAATAGGAAGGGACTCTATAGGTATGTAGTGAATAAAAAACAGACTAGGGACAACGTAGTCCCCATGCGGAAGCTCTTGAGAGAACTAGCTACACAGGATTTGGAGAAGCCTGAGGTTCTGAATGACTTCTTTGCCTCAGTCTTCACTGGCACAGGCTCTGACCGCACCACCCAAGTCAGCAATTGTGAGAATGAAGACCTTGGGCCCACTGTAGGCCAGGATCTAGTTCAAGACAATCTCAAAAACCTGAACGTACACAAGTCCATGGGACCTAATGAAATCCGTCCACAGGTCCTGAAGGAGCTGGCAAATGAAGTTGCTAAGCCACTGTCCATTATAAGTGAAAAATCACGGCAGTCACGTGAAATTCCCAACGACTGGAAAAAGGGAAATATAACCCCCATTTTCAAGAAGGGGAAAATGGATGACCCAGGGAACTACAGACCAGTCAGTCTCACCTCTGTGCCTGGCAAAATCTTCGAGCAGATTCTCCTGGAAGGCATGCTAAGGCACACGAAAAACAACAAGGTGCTTGGTGACAGCCAGCATGGCTTCACTAAGGGGAAATCCTGCCTGACCAATTTGGTGGCCTTCTATGATGGGGCTACGGAACTGATGGACAGGGGTAGAGCAGTTGATGTCATCAGCAGGTCGAAGGAGGTGATCCTGCCCCTTTACTCTGCTCTTGGGAGACCTCCCCTCGAGTATTGTGTGCCGTTCTGGTGTCCTCAACATAAAAAGGACTTGGAACTGTTGGAACAAGTCCAGAGAAGGGCCACAAGGATGATCAGGGGACTGCAGCACCTCCCATATGAAGACAGGCTGAGAAAGTTGGGGCTGTTCAGCCTGGAGAAGAGAAAGCTCCGTGGAGACCTCATAGCAGCATTCCAGGGGCTTATAGGGATGCTGGGGATGGACTCTTCATTAGAGACTGTAGTGATAGGACAAGGGGTAACGTGTTCCATCTTAGACAGGGGAAGTTTAGATTGGATAGAAGGAGGAAATTCTTTCCTGTTAGGGTGGTGAGGCACTGGAATGGGTTGCCCAGGGAGGTTGTGAATGCTCCATCCTTGGCAGCGTTCAAGGCCAGGTTGGACAAAGCCTTGGGTGGCATGGTTTAGTGTGAGGTGTCCTGCCTATGTCAGGGGGGTTGGAACTAGATGATCTTAAGGTCCTTTTCAACCCTAACTAGTCTGTGATTCTATATGAAAACATATACTCAGAAAATCTGTGATATTCAGTAGATATGTACTCATGGAGGGGAATTGTATTCCATTCTCTGGAAGTTTCTTACACAAATCTACAGTGCAAGAAAATCGAGCACCATTATTCAACTACTTCCATCAGCTGGGAATTTTTTATTATACCCAACCGTAATCATCAGTTCCAATGCCTTCTATTCAACAAGTAATTTTCTAAGTTAAAAATGCTAATAAGTCTGGTTAACAGCATAAAACAGAGCTAAATTATGAGCCTCAGAATTACAGATGTTTTCATTTGCACTTAATCTTGCAGCTACTAACCACACTGAATTTAACAGTAACAAACCTCACTGCACTTAACATGTCTTTCAGAAATGATTTTACAGACTGACATGGAGAAAGTATTTACCCCAGTACAGACAAGAGTAAACGAGCAGTGGTCTAAGAAACAGGGAGCCAGAAAATGTTCATATTTTTCATTGTATGGAAAATGTCATCCTATCAAATAAAATTTCTGGGTCATATGGGTCATAGCAAAGTACTTGTAATAAGTTTATCATAAAGGCAATTTTGTTTGTTTGAAAACTGGGTGTTGTTTAAGTAACATAATGGTTCACAGTGTGTCAGAATAAAACTTAACAGTCTATATAGTAGAAATATATTCTGCATGAACAATTCATGAAAGTTTGGATAATTTCATTTTTCATCTTGACTGGGGAAAAAACAAAATGAAATCTCAAGCAGTAGGAAAGCATTTCCTACACACTTGTACTGGGAAATGTCTGATGGTCCAGGAGAAAAACTGCTGCTGGAACCTACACCAGCAGCAAGGGCAGTGCTAGTACAGTATGAAATTGTGCAAATCCACATTGTTGTGTCAGCTGCAGTTGCTACTCAGAATGGGGGACTCTCCCTCTGGATCAGTAGTTGCTGCCAGAAAGGTGGGAGAAGACAATAGGAAAATTATTTGTGTATTGACTGTTGCTTCCTGTGACAGGTACATTCTTTCTGCACAAGGAGCTTGTGAATATCCAGTATTGCTTTTGTCTCTTTTGTCCAAAGGTAAATTTGAATTAGTCATCCTTGTTGAGAAGGAAATTAGCCCTGATCCATATTTTCAAATTGTGCTGATCCTACAGCAAAACATTCTACAAATATCTGCAGCATGTAGTAACGCTGGTAAAAGTTAGTGGATGCTTATACAAAATAGGGCATTAATTACATAACTGGAAGTGCATTGGAGAAATATATGCCTCCATGAAATCAAGCCACAAGTTAGAAACTTGAAGTCAGATGACTTCGTGAACAAGTCTAATACCAATGAAAGACAGCCAAGCATTCAATTTTGCTTTTATTTATCAAAAAGCAGGGATTGCAAGTATGTGGAGGATTTCTGAGTCTTCCAATTGTTATTTGAATTTGCTGGTCCTTTGAGGAAGAAATCATTGGAGTAAGGAATTCATAGACTCATAGAATTACTGCTTTGTTGTCTGATTAATGCCTGTTGATCTTTTCTTAAAATGTGCTAAAAATTCACAGGTGGTGCATTTAACCCAGGAATTCATTAGCACTAATTTATCAGTGCCACATGTCGAGTTTGACCTGAAATTGGCCAACTCAAAATCCATTAGGTTTATGAGAAGGTGCAAAAGCACTGTTTTCAACAGGGCTTTCCAATTATAATTGCATTAAATACTGGACAAAACCTTGTATTTCAGGAGAAAAAAAATGTATCCAATAAGAGCTTCTTTATAGTTTTTTAATTCATTTTGTGAACATTTGCGATGTGACTTTTTCACAGATGATTTGAAATCTTGGGAGATTTGTTTTCACTTTTCCCCATTTGTTCTCTCTTTTCTTATTCCAGTGAATCTTAAATAAATTTACTATTTACTCTCTTTATTATATTGTTTTTTTCCTTCTTAATATGTTTACAAAAGTACACAGTGGCTCATGCTGCTACTAGTCTTTGCTCTAAGTGCTGCCTTCACTATAATCAACATCAAATGTTTGCCTTAGATTATAATACATGTATTTTTTTTAAAGACAACAGAACAGGACTTTGATCTCAATGAGCAAGGTAAGTAAGGGCAAGAAGGAAGTTTTGTATTTCAGTAGTATCCTAATGAAAACAGTGTTATGGAAACAAGGAAAACTTCTCTTGCACTAATTTTCTACTTTATTACTGTATTGCATACTGTGTTTTACGTTGCCCTTTGTACTGCTTTTCTGATAAAGAAGAATGAACACTGTCACAGAAAATGCCTCCATCTTGGTTTTCCTTTTGTCAAATCATAAAGTGGTTTAAAGCACATTTTTTTCTTTATGTGTGTTTTGTTTTTTTTTTCCCTGGTATAGTTCAAGTTGTCTGTCTAGATGGACTTCTGTCACTTTTCTTAACATAACCAAATAGGTCTCCTGTTCAGAAGTCAATTTCTTAACTTCATCTTGCTAACCTGTCTATAAAGCCTTTCAGCCTGATAGAGTCTATTCTTGTCCAGTGGTTATATTCTTTCATTATTTAAAAGCTGCCACTTTGTCATCCAGGCATTTTACTTCTAATAACATGAGAATTGCTACAGCAGCAGCAGCATTTTTGCTGCTCCTTTCTGATTCTTTTCAACTTACCTATACACTCCTAAGAATGAAGTACCAAGGTCTGTCTGCAGTATTTTAGGTGCAATTTTCTGTTCATTCTCTAAAGAGGGACTTATTAAGCCTTTGTCATGATATCATCTTTCCCTTCATACAGTTTCAAATTTGCTTTATAAACACATATCTAATTTACTGTCCATTGTCACTTGTCCTTTAACCAGTGTTCTTTTCTAGATTACTATCTCATAGAATGTCTATTTCATATTATTTATTTACTAGATAAATAATTCACATGAGAAAGCCAGCTGCATCTCCATCCTGATATTTTCTGTCCATATTTTATCTGGTTTATAGTTATGAATCTTTGAGCTCTCTTAATTCTCTGAGAATCTATGAATTTAGTATCATCTTCAAATTTAATTACCGTGGTGGCTTGCCCCAGCCTTAAATCATTCAGTAGCATGTTTGAATAAGAGCAGGTGTAACAATGATCTTTGTAACACACCATTGCACACTTCTGTACATTGTATGCTGCTACAGTTTTGAACTTCATTATCCTTTCTTTTGTCCTTCACTACATTTTCATTTCCCATTTGCTTAAAGCCAACAGCATTGCCATTAATTTGGCATGATGCTAAATGAAAACAACACTTGTATGTTTGGGACTTGCATCACTTTTTTTTTTATCCAGTCATTTTATAAACACATATAAAATAATCTCTTTATTCATTGGGTAGTATAAGCCTCCTGCTAAGCAGGTCTCATGACTCTAATCTCCTCAATGTTCATTTATGGGTATATTGTCAGAGATGTGTTAGTTCCAGAGAGGAGCAAGCATTTGACACCTTATATTTAAATTATTATTCTACCCAGCTCATGGAAAGGTGGGATATTTGATTATACTCTATTCTACAGGAAGCTGTTAGGTGGAAAGATCTGGAAAGACCTATCTCCAGGTTCATCCTTCCCTATTCTATAATATGAATGAATATAAATAAATCAACAGAAGGCAGTGTGCATATCTGCAAGAGGAGAGACATTATGTTCTCTTCTGGAAATAAACTGTAGCTGTCTTTTGTGATTTGTTTCCAGATCTGCTGCCTGTAGAGGAGGCTGGAGAAGGACCGGTGTTGCTGTTTGTTCAAATTATGCCATAAAATTCTGAGCTTTGTCTTATGATCTTCCAACATTTCTTACATTATGTAAGTTTCCCTAAGCAATGGAGTTAAATACATGGTTCCTAAAGATTAGTATTCTCTCTCTTCCTTTTTTATGATCACTGTTAGATTTTTTCTTGGGTACTTTCTAATTCTCTATTGCTTAAACAATTTTAGATCTTTCTGTAAATTTTTTAGCTAAGTCCCTGAATACCTTACAATTCATGTTCAATGATATGCTCCTTATTACTTCCTAATTGTCCAAAGTTGCTTTGCGCATTTTGTATAACACTAACACTTTCTTCTTTTTAACAGCTGAGCCTTAGGAGAACAGGTTTGCATTATCTATTTTATCTGACTCCTTATTTATTAATGAGCTAAATCTGACTTGTTTTTCTTTGTCCATTTATTGGATCTGCAGACATCTTCCTTACTCTCTTGACCCTATTTTACTACCAGCTATTCTGTTGTTTTTACCTAAATGTTTCCAGTTGCAGAATATGTGCTTTGCACTTCTGACAAAGAAATCTTGTTAGCCCATCAAGGATTTACTTTTTTCTTTACATTCTGACCATGAATTTTCTTTTCTTGTCATAATTACCTTACATCTTATGTAACTTGGTTCCAGAAATACATATTTCAACAAATACTTTTTGGAGTTAAGATTCTGAAGTCGTGTCCTGATCAATCTACTACAACTATGGCCTTTGAATATTGGAAAGAGCTAAAACTTAACCATCTCAATTACTTCCTTTTGCTCTTACAAAATACAATATTTTTATATTCCTTCATTCAGGGAGAACATTTCTTACTTTGTTCAGTTGAAGTACCTTGTATTCTAAAAGGTGCTGAATGTCGCTATTTCTCACAATTTCTACTAATCCTTCTTGAGCAGGCTGGTTAGATCTTCTCCTTTCTGGATCATAAAATTGCTTTCTGTGATGATGCATACTTGATTAGTTTTGCTTTATCCAACAGCTGTCTTGGTACTTAATGTCCCCCATGACAAGTATGGTTTTGCACATCTTGGGAGATGGTCCAGGAGTCTTTTTCTGTTTAATCCAGTCTTGATGCAGTCTTCCAGATGTTCAGCTTAATTCACCTCCATACCTCTTTCCTGATACTGTTCATCAGAGTGCTTCACTAAGTTTTTATACATTAAATAACTTTTTTTTGTGCATCGATTAATCTACATTTGCATACGTTAGTGTTGCAGTTAATGTGAATTAGCATAAAACATTTATTTGCCAGTGGAAATGAGGCAGTCTGCTGAACTTGCTACATAGGAAAAGCATGCATACAGATCCTCGAATGTCCATATACACAGTAAAATGTGGTACTTTGATACAAATTATTTCTGGTAATTAGGTTGTCAACACAGAGCTTCAGCAAAATATTTTACCTTAATTTTATCTATCGCCCCTTCTTTCCACCATATTTTTTTTGTTCCAATGTAGAAATTTTGTCCAGTGATTTTAACATGAATTTTCAGTATTACTCTGTCATGTGTCAGATATGATTCTATTCCACAAAAATCAGTCAGTGATTATTTTTTTTTTAAATGCTTTTATTAAAATAACCCCTGTGACCTTATCTGGCATTAAAATGTAGTCGTGGAAAGACAAGAAAACATACTGAAATTAAGTCAGTTGCTGTTACAAAGATCAGGTACTTCAGAGAACCAAGACAGACAAAGAAAGGGAGAACAGAAGTATTACTATCCTATTTTACAGATAAAGAACTGAATAACAGAGAGATTAAGGTCAGACAGGGAGGCTGTGGCAGGTCTGGGAGCTAGTGCCATAATACTTCCTTAATCACAAGGCCATTCTTCATTCTGAAAGATTTTATTGTTTATTCTTCAGACACCTTCTGTGGAGCTGAAAGAGAAGAAGAGCTTGGATCAAGCTTCAGATCTAGAGTGAGGATAACTTTGCTGTTTGACTTAAAGACTAACTCCAGGATAGGATCTCTACTGAAGTCTCTCATTCTTAGAAGTGCAGTTATCTCCTGGTGATATGGAGACAGGTTCTATGTAGTTAAATTCAGGTTACAGTGATTTTTGCACATCTAATTAATTTTAGTGAGTATGAGACAAAATACTTTCGGTTTACATTTATTTCACATTAATTTGCATTATGGGAGAACTCAGTTTTCTCCATGTTGCCTAATTAAGATGATAACGTGCTGCTCTTCTGGTGTAAGTGGGAAGATGCTGATTCAGAAAGCTCCCATTTATCACTGCCTATGTTTTAGCAGTCTGTGGATTCCAAGGTCTGCTAATTTACAACACAGGACACCTTTTCAGATTTGTCCTGCTCTTCTGTCAGTAGGGAGACAATGTATGTTTTGCAGTTTCCTAATGGCTTTAAAAAGGAACAAGAAATGTCAATAGGCAAAAAGGCCAAAAACCAGGGAGAACTGATTCTCACTAACAGATCTTTTGGGGATTAGTCATATAAGTTCTTGGTTCTTTCTTTCCACAGGCATTTTTACAATAAATGGTATAAGATCTAAAAGCAAGATAAATGTTAAAGGGCCTTTATTCACTGCCTCATCCAACAAATGGGTGAAAATTGAAGAAAATAGCATCTAAAAAGTCTAAGCCCTTGATTTCAAATCTTCAATAGTTTGAAGAAGCAGGTCTTCTATTTATAGCTTTGATTATCTTGAATTCTATGTCTCCCATGGCTTATACAAAGAAGCACAAAACATGTATTTAAAAAGAAACATGTAAATCCATTTTGTTATCAAAATTAGCTGTGTTCTAAATTATATATACTTTTTATAGAAATGGGTGTTACTAGTTTATTCTATTACTTCAGTCATTTTTCCTGTGATTTTTTTCCCCATATAAAAAAAAAACCAAAACGCAGAAGTCCACAACATACTAAATTATTTCAGCTATAATAGCCTCATGTTTAATATACTGCTTACTTATCTTATGGTTTATTTTAGTTGGTTACATAGATGCTCTCCTTCCATAGCATAATATTTATAATGAAATTAGGAAAGTGGATGTGTCTGCTCGAACTTACATCATTTTTATTCAGTCCTGCCTAAAGATGCTCTTTTTTTCATTCAGTAATTACAACTGATAGAGTTAAGAATGGAAAGAATTTTGAGTGTTTCAGATTCATCATGTCTGCTGTAATGAGAAATCATTTTATGAAGTATACCATGACCTGTATAGTCAGGTGATGATTTTCCTGTCCTTGCTCTTTACATTTCTTAAGAACAAATCTTTTGTCCACCTATATTCATTGCCATGGGAAGCCTTTCCATGAGATAGTCCTGCAGTAGTCTGCTTATTGATTTTGAATGATACTGAAAATAAGAGACTCTACTCTTCAAGATGAACCTTTGGGCTATATTTTCCCCTTCATTAATGTCACAAACTGGCATATACATAAGAACACAGATTAACCTCTGAATTTGGCAGTACTCAGGAGGCCAACCCCCCTACCCTTTAGAAACACCCTCTAAGTCAGGCCATAAGGAGAAGACCCTAAGTCATTTTTGAAGAAAGACGTCCTCTGAGTTATCAAACCATAGAACTGATTAACAGGGGTAGAGCAGTTGATGTCATCTACCTGGACATGTGTAAAGCGTTCAATGCTGTCCCACATGACATCCTTGTCTCTAAATTGGAGAGACATCAATTTGATGGATGGACCACTCAGTGGATAAAGAACTGGCTGGGTGGCCGCACACAAAGAGTTGTGGTCAACGGCTCGGTGTCCAGCTGGAGACCAGTAACGAGTGGTGTCCCTCAGGGATCGGTGTCGGGACCGGTCTTGTTTAACATCTTTGTCAGTGACATGGACAGTGGGATTGAGTGCGCCCTCAGCAAATTTGCCGATGACACCAAACTGTGTGGTTCGGTTGGTACGCTGGAGGGAAGGAATGCCATCCAGAGTGACCTCGACACGCTTGTGAGGTGGGCTGATGCCAGCCTTATGAAGTTTAACCATGCCAAGTGCAAGGTTCTACACCTGGGTCGGAGCAATCCCAGGCACAGGTACAGGTTGGGCAGAGAAGAGATTCAGAGCAGCCCTGTGGAGAAGGACTTGGGGGTGCTGGTCAATGAGAACATGAACAAGAGCCAGCAGTGTGCCCTCGCAGCCCAGAAAGCCAACCGTATCCTGGGCTGCATCAAAAGGAGTGTGACCAGCAGGTCGAAGAAGGTGATCCTGCCCCTTTACTCTGCTCTTGTGAGACCTCCCCTCAAGTATTGTGTGCAGTTCTGGTGTCCTCAACATAAAAAGGACATGGAACTGTTGGAACAAGCACAGAGGAGGGCCACAAGGATGATCAGGGGACTGGAGCAGCCGTATGAAGACAGGCTGAGAATGTTGGGGCTGTTCAGTCTGGAGAAGGGAAGGCTGCATGGAGACCTCATAGCAGCCTTCCAGTATCTGAAGGGGGGCCTATAGGGATACTGGGGAGGGACTCTTTATTAGGGACTGTAGTGATAGGACAAGGGGTAATGGGTTCAGACTTAAACAGGGGAAGTTTAGCCTGGATATAAGGAGGAAATTCTTTCCTGTTAGGGTGATGAGGCACTGGAATAGGTTGGCCAGGGAGGTTGTGAATGCTCCATCCCTGGCAGTGGTCAAGACCAGGTTGGACAAAGCCTTGGGTGAGATGGTTTAGTGTGAGGTGTCCCTGCCTATGGCAGGGGGGGTTGGAACTAATGATCTTAAGGTCCTTTCTAACACTAACTATTCTATGATTCTATGATTCTATAATATTTTAAGTTGGAGGAGACATCTAGAGGTTGTCTGACCTCCTGCTCAAATCATGTCTCACTCAGAACTAGAGCCATTTTGGTAATTAAATCACCATCTAATGTTAATGACCCACTGGTGCAAGTGTTCAGTCTTCCTGTCTTTCCCTGTCTTCCTTCCCCATCAAGAAGTCATGTTTCTTACCACTGCATATGCATTTAGCTTCCTTCTATTTCAAAGGGGGGGCAGGAAGTAAGCTTTAATTGTCTTGTACTGCTCTAATATAAGTTAGACTGGATAGTTACTCTGAGATGCAGTCGTCTTTGGAGCTAGCAGCATTTGTAGTGTTGTCCCAGAATCTAGAACTTAACTCTATCTGCTCTGCGCAGTAGTAGATTCCCTGCCAAAACATTGTTAATAGGGTAGAGAAGAACTGGATGGGGAGGCAGAGTTAGGTAGCTCAGAGATTTATGTAGTAGTGGGTTTGGAAAGCTGTGTATAGTTGGTGAGGAGTGGATCAGCAGCCACAAGATTTAATACTGCTTTTGGAAGGTAGGGTTTGTAAGAGTAAATGGCAAAGGTAGACCTGCCTAGGCATCGTACACTGCAAGTGGGACTTACTTATTTGTCTCCTCTCTCATACTCCTTCTTCATAGTATCATATTTTATGCATCTACAATTAGCATTGTAAGCCTGTTTCTCTTGATCATTACATAACAGATGAAACCATGAAATAGATAGAAAACAGAAAGGCAGAAATTACTATTCTTCTTGGAAGGTGAGTTTCTTAGATTTTGACCTGCAGGATGAGACATACATAGCTGGCTTCTCAGAGATGGAAAGGACAGTAGAGGAAACTTGACAAATGAAAATGTGAACAGCTGATTTGCATAGCCAGCAGACCTGAACAGACACTTCTACTGAACTAACTGTTCCTTCAGAAAGGCTGCAGCTTACAGGACTGAAGACAGTAGCCAGGCTTCTTAAGTAGAATTTGTGGCTCTATATCTTTCCTTTTTTCTTTTTTTTTTTTTTTTTTTTTTGTGGAGCTTTGAACCATGAGAGACAGGCTCTGTATCTGCATGTTTTGCAGTGGGCACTAAGCACCTTGCAGTAGCAGGACATTTCAGACTTACTGCTGCTTTATTGCTATTACAAATACTGTCATGGCAACTAATAGCACTTGTGCAGACAAGCAACCTTTTGTAGAGACTCAAGCAACAGGACCACTGGGTGGCCACCAGGTGATTACCTTTGTCTCCTTTTATTATGAGTTAGGGAGAAGTACCTCTGTTATCAATGTCACTTACTGAACATTCCTGTGCTTCCAGTTTCGCTGGTCTTGCAGCCAGCTCGTCAGCTGTGCATGTCTGTCAACAATCCTTGAGATCAGGGACAACAATCTTGGAGACAGTGGACCTCAGTTCCTCATACCAGTCCCTGAGATAATGGAACCCAGGATCTTATCTCAGTTCTTCACACCCATCTTCCAGATAGTGGACCTCAGCTCCTCACACCAATCTTTGAGATAATGGACAGTGGAGTCTGATTTCAGCTCAGTCTCTCACAATTCTTCTAATTGTATATGATTGATAAGTACTTACTTTACCCTAAAATCTGGTACATAGACTTTAAATAGTATGTTGCACAGTTTGAGCTTGCAATGAATTGTATTTTGAGAGTATGTTCTTAGTACTGCATATAAGTATCTTTTAAAAACCTAAGTCTTAGTTTGCATACTCCACAGAAGATAGGAGACTGTGCACATGGTACCTCCCACTTTACATGCTTCATATTTGTACTCTGGAGTCTAAAGATTATGTGGTTGGTCATAGTTAAGTGGGGAGAGGGAAGGTTTGGATGTGACAAGAGCAGAGCTCAGAGTATCTGGCTTCAAAATTGTTGCAGCTCTGTATCTTAAAGGCAGGCCGTGGGTGTGTGCCAGTGGTGAGTAAGTAGGTATTTTGAGTGGGACAGTGCTTTCCTAACTCACGTGTACCCGTTAGCACGCTTGGTCAACATGGAATATAGTCTGTGAACAGCATCTTTTCTCATAAACCACAGAAATAAATAAAATGTTTCTTTTAGGCAGAGATGATTCAGATATGCAAAACTGCATTATTTTTGCTTCGCCTAAATTTAATTAGAGCCTCTGTATGAAGCTTTTAATCTCACTGACTTTTTACACCGAATTAAGTGTGACTACGTACAATAGTCGCAATCATGATTTTCTGTCCTGAAGAAGTGATCACACTATGCTTCATATAGCCTTTACCTGCTAGCATGCTGGATTTCTTATGATTATTTTTAATACATTCCTTTACTATAGTTGTGCAATAAAAATAAATTTCTAGGTATCTTGAAACTGACATTTTTCTTCCTGGCATAAGCCTTTTGAGAGGGAATGATGGAAGACTGAAAGTTGTCTTTGTTTTTTATCAGAAGATAAAAATGAAGTGACTGAGCATTTTACAGTTTATAAACTCTAGCCCTTGGATAAAGCAAGAATATTGCTGGCTAAAAGCAGATTTTCTGCTTTGGCAGTTCTGTTTCCACTGATACCAAATTTCCTCTCAGCTCCTGCAGTAGTGTATAAAAGCCTTTCATGGAGGTAAATTACTGTGTTTCTTCTGCAAAGGGACAGGATTTCTTAATGTGTTTTCAAGCCTTATAATCTCACCAGACACCATATGTTAAAATATAATCTCCTGATTTTAAAGTCACACTATTGAATTTGCAGAAAAAACAAGTCATGATTTGTGGTTTGATAAGTTTGGCAGCATTAGAGAGCTGGCTTTTGGTACATTCCAAGTGGTAAATTGTAGTAAAGACAATAATGTAGTGTCTAGTATCTGTACCTGTAATTTCCAAAGTTTAATACCTGTAGTCTTTATTAAGATGTACAATTACTTTTTTTTCATTAAGTGCTTTACAATGCCCAAATTATAAAATTAAACTCGAGTTATAAGCCTCTCAGATTTACCAACAGTAATGTTCCCTTTTCTCCCAGTGGCTTGTCATTAGATGTTCAGTTACTATCGTAAGTTCCTTTTTCAATCTGCTCTGTAGTTGTTTATGTCCCAGTGATGTTTTACTGTGATTTATATTAGTTTGTGAGATTTAAATTTTAACATTGTAAGAAAATACTGGATTGCATTTACACTGAATAAAGCATGGATCTGTAAGAAAGGATGATGGGACTCTGAGTCACCTTGTTGGCTTTCAGATTCTGGAATTAGCCAGCCACCTGGCTTTTTCTCAAAAAGAGACAGAAACAGTCACATAGTTCTTGTACAAACATATTTTCACAAGAAAACCGTGCTGTAGGAATCATTTTGCAAGACCCAAACATCTGGCTAATCCAGGATGATCCCAGAATGATGTTTGCTCTGTCATTACAATACAGGAGATATTCTATGGAATAAACATACAGGATAAGTCATATGTCTTCTGTGTTTTTAAGCGATTTGAGGAAGTGAAACAGTGTGCAGCAGGACATTGTTTCCCTCCTATATGGATTAGTAGCAACGCTGTATTCAGTCTCCAGTGTTAACACCTTCTAAAATCGGGCTGTTTATCAGTCCATTGCTTCCATAGACTAAGCCAGAGAATTTGAAACAACTTTGTTTGAATTACATATTTTAGCTTGGAATGGCATATCTTAGTTTCAAAGTCTCAGCTAACCAATAATTTAATGTGTGTCTTACTTTTGCCCATTTGCATTATTTAGCCTTCTTGTGTGGCATCTGGCCCTTACATTGGGCCAGATGTAATTGTCATTACATTACAAATTCTTGACATTTTATACAGTAAATTACTTTCTTGCTTATAAAAATTATTCTTCTTTTCTCCTCACTTAGACTGTTGCTAGAACCAAAACAAACCTACTGACTTAATCAAAGTCAGTAGATTTAATCCTGTGAAAGTGAGCTCAGAGGCACACCTACTACTCATTGTCAGTTTAGCCACCTACTACTCATTGTAAATTCAGCCCTTTTTCACATTGTAAATCTTCTAAGGAATAAATATTTCTAGTTCAGTCTTTAATACAATTAATAGTTGCTATTTGAGAGTTCTCACAGTGTCAGGCAGCAATTTGGAATTCATCTGTTATTAGTATATCATTAATTTTGAATATTTCCCGCTGGTTATTAATTGTTTGCAGTGAGAGTGAAAGATCCAATTGGGCTTTGTTTTTCTAGATTACTTCTACTTTTGAAACAGGGGAATGACAAAGCAAATAATTTTGCTCATATAGAAATACCTTTACAAGTGTTTGAATTTGCATGTTCCATATGAAGAGCAAGTCTGTCTCCTAATCGTACAGAACAGAATCATAGAAAATAGAATATATTACATATATATATGCATGTTAGAAACACTATATACATATTCATAGATGCAGACAGTTCACAAAATAACAGTCATCCTTTTTTTGCATTGAACTATCCTGTTCAGTAATAATTCTCTTTCTTATTTGGTCACTAGTAGTATTTGATATATTCATAGTTCATTACTAAGGGAATTGTTATTCATTCCTTTTGTTTGTGAAGGCAATACATCTGAGCTAGTTGAAGCAGTGATTAGCGCTGAAAGCTTCCTATCTTACATTTGCTAATGCAGGCTAGGTATTTGATACTGCTTTTCCAAAATACGGTAGCACTTCATTTGTGGCATCATGAAATTCTAGCAATGTGAATGCTTGACTTTGTAACCCTGTTAATGTTCTTTTAATGTAAGTTGTCATTGTGTAGCTTCTTAGCTGTTTTTCTCTTAAGCGAGCTAAAAAATCACTGTACTGATAAGTAGCATCCTGTTAACACTCAGTTGTTTCATGTTCTTGGCTGGAAACTTTTTATCCATCCTACAGATGTTGGTGCTATTTTTTCTTAATTCTCATTGGCTATTTCTTACAAATAGCAGTTTCTATAAATTACAAGCTCTTTAAAACAAAGCCTGTGCTTTACAGTATATACAAAGCGTAGTACTTTCAGTCTAGAGAAGTACAGAAAGATTTTTTGAACTTCAAATGTTCCTTAGCTATAGGAAGCATTAAGAAGCATTTATCAATAAAATATTACTTTTCTTGTGGGAGTTTTTCTTTTTATGTTATAGTTAGTCCTTGTTTCAGCTGGGATAGTTGCAAAAGTCTAAAGACTGCCATGATATATATTTCAGATTACTGTGGACATCCATGTACATCCACTTTCCTGCCCTTATGTGTGTAACGGTTAGGATGTAAAGATACGAAGTAAATGGAAATGTTCCTTCAAGTAGGATAAGAAAAGAGAATTTTGGTCATATAAATCTCATTTCCATGTTCCAGATGCAAAGTCCTCTTGCAGCAAAGTCTGTTGAGTCTCAAAGCAATTCTACTGTTATGCCAGGACAATTAAAGAACTGAATTATTTCTTTATACTTCAACAGAAGTGAAATTTCATCAAATTGTTAAGAAAAAACATCATTTTAAAAGGTGAATCAAAATACAACATATTTAATTTTTAAAATGGAATATCTGGGTTTGGTTTTCTTCCATGTTCAAATTGTGTGAAGACCCCTGTGGTTTAAATAACCCAGTTGTTGTACATTAATAAAAATCCCATTAAATTAAATGGCCACTAGGCATATAGAATGTCCTGTTGCAATTTCAAGAGACAGTTTGTTACAAGACACCCTGCTACGTACCTTTTATTTTATCAAAATAAAGGAGAAAAATAAAAGGTTGCAAAATGTGTTTATTTCTGTGATGTGTTGTTTGTTGGTTTTGGGTGTTGCTTTTTTTTGTATATATATAAAGAATGAAAGAGTTGGCTTATTCTATGTCTGGTACATTTATAGCACAACCAACAATAAATATATATAATCATCAGAATCGATCAGTAATTTTCATCCTCTGAACTATTACTTGTTTCCTTTGGAAGATGGCAATTCAAGAAGTAATTCAGTATATATTGTATTAAACTGCTTGAGAGCACTTATTGTGCTTGTTTGCCAGCAAACATTTCTGAAATAGGGCACTGTTTTTCTTGCAAATATTTTTCTTTTCTTTTCTTTTTTCTTTTGTTTTCCTTTTCTTTTCTTTTCACTTTTCTTTTCTTTTCCTTTTTTTTTCTTTTTTTTTCTTCTTTTCCTTTCCTTTCCTTTCCCTTCCTCCCTTCCTTCCTTCCCCCTTCCCCTCCCCCCTTCTCCCCTTCCTTCCTTCCTTCCTTCTTTTTCCCTTTCCTTTCCTTTCCTTTCCTTTCCTTTCCTTTCCTTTCCTTTCTTTCCTTTCCCTTCCTTCCTTTCCTCTCCTCTCCTCTCCTCTCCTCTCCTCTCCTCTCCTCTCCTCTCCTCTCCTCTCCTCTCCTCTCCTCGCCTCTCCTCTCCTCTCCTCTCCTCTCCTTTCCTTCCTCCCTCCCTTCCTTCCTTCCTTTCTTTTTCTTTCGCTCCTTTCTTTCTCTCTCTCTTTTTCTCTTTTCTTTCTTTCTCTTCCTTTCTTCCTTTCTTTTTTCTTTTCTTTCTCTTCCTTCCTTCCTTTCCTTCCTTCCCTTCCTCCCTCCCTTCCTTTCTTCACTTGAAATATATAAAAAAACCTGTGTATATATTGAATACTTGTGCAAACAAATCACAAATATCACAGTGAGATGTAACTGAAGTAAGAAGACCTTGCAAGTATAAGAGGTTTATAGCTGCTCCTTTCTGAATGATGCAAGCATTGTTGTAGACAGCTTTCCCTTTCTACCTTCCAACTTAATAAGTGGCAAGTTCTGCCATTGCCTACCTGTGGTTCTGAAATCCCTCTGTTGACTAAGTTGTTTATGGTTGGTTTATTTTTTCTGAAGACTGAATTATTATGGTACTGTCCCTATTCCTTTAGCCAGTTGCTTCAATGAGTTCAAAAGACAGTCTGTCCTCAAAAGTTTATGACCCTAATATCTTAACTATTCTCATGTAGTTGTTTGTCTTTAATTTCTATCCCATTTTCTCTTGGTTTTTAACAGCCTGCTGCTAAACCAGACTAATGCAGTCAGGCAGCAAGTTTTGTCTAAAATACCTTAAAAAATCAACATTGATAGTTACTTGCTGCAAATACCTGTTGTTGAATTTTAGTTTTCTTCTGCTTATACTATTTACACTCACAATTTAGATCAAAAACATCATCTTCGCATGGATAGTGTTTATTACTTGCTAAAAATGCATGAAACGGGTTTTATATACTACATGTTAATAGCACAGATTTCTTTCCTGCCATTCTCTTTTCAGTTTTGAATGACTCCTTGCAATTTAAAGGGTAATAGATGCAACCCAGTTTTGTATTAAAAATTTTCTTTAAGAACTGGACAGATAGTAACAACAATATACTTTCATTGTTTTTCAAGGATTAAGTTTTCTGTGAGAGTGGATGGATCTTGGCTGTCATAATATTCCTATAGACCCTTCACAGGACTAGGAGGGTTGTGCTGACCCTGCTCAGGCTCAAGGACCAACTTCACTCCATCAGGTGAAAACTCAAGGAATTTTGCTGTTAACCCTGATTAAGCTATGTAAAAAGTTAATCTCTATATGGAGGCCTTACAGGACAATGAAACTATTTTGGCTGAAATGTGAAATGATGTTAGCAACAGTTGGTGTAAAAAACAGAAGCAGATATTGCTCGTCTGAAAATAATTTATGTAGATACAATGAAAGTTTCCTGAGTACATAGCATGATTCTTAGGTGCCACCATGTTATGACCTGTTAAAAAGCAGTGTAGCAAAAGTGTAAGAAGCTGTTTTAACTGGTCAGATTTTCATGACAAATATTTCAGGTGGTGTTTCCAGTAGTTCCTGTTCCTTTGAGAAAACAGGCAAAGCAAGAGAGATTTGTGAGAGGGAAAGATGTCCTTCACTTCTTTATTTAGCCTTTTAATTTAAATATTCAAATTATATGTAAATTGTGTTATATATATTTAAGTAATACTGTCTTCTTACGGGAAACCTTCTTGGCCCCTCCCCCATTTAATTAATGTGTACAAGCAATTTCTGATAGAAGGCAGAATGCAACCGTCTGCATTTCTCAGTATTGTCATTTTTCAGATAGAACTCACAGGTGTCTTTTAAACAATGATTAATTAGAAAGCAAAGTCTATTTTTCCTGCTCATTTGTTTGTTAACTACCTCTGTGATAATAATATATGTGCATATTTAATTTCCTCCATTGTCAATGAGCATCTTAGAACCAAGTACTACTTATTTTATAATATTCTTGTATTCTTCTTTATTCATGCATTCTATTTACCAAATTAAATTACTTTTCCTCCAAAGGACATTTAAAGTATTATAGTCCTATTCATTGATAGGTTGTTTCCAATACAGTATTAGAAGATTCTGAAGCACATAATATGAAGCACATGTTCAAAAAACAGAGTTCTTCATTTTGTCTGAAATAGTCTTTCCTTTGCTCTCTTTTTTTTTCTGCGTGCAAATTCTGAATAAAGAGGCTGCATATGGACTTATTGGACTAATGCGTGGGAATATGAAAAACAACATTCACTCACATTAGTGTAGATGGCAAGGAACATACTACGTCAGTCCTGCTAGTGTCATAAAATCAGAATATTTCGGGTTGAAAGAGACCTAAAAGTCATCTAGTCCAACATCCCTGCAATGAGCAGGGACACCTTCATCTAGGTCAAGCTGCCCAGAACCATATCCAGCCTGGCCTTGAGTGTCTCCAGGGATGGTGCATCCACCACCCTCTGGACAACCTGTTCCAGTATTTTACCATCCTCACTGTAAAAAAATTTTTCCTTACATCCAGCCTGAATCTCTGCTCTTTTAGTTTAAAACCATTATCCCTCATCCTATGACAACACATCCTGCTAAAAAGTTGTCCAGTCAGTGGTTGCTAGTGACCACTGATAATGTGTTCTGAGATACTGTATGTTCTCTGATGAGTCTTTCTGTTTCCCTTGACCATACATACCCCTATTGCTAAGTCTG